GCATTCTCTCCTTTCTCTCCTCCTCCCCCGCTGCCTTCCTCTCAGCCAGCCTCCCTCTGTCCCCCACTTCCTCTCATGCCACCATAATGTATTTTTAGCCCTACTGTTCTAACTTTAGCTCCCAGCTCGAGGGGGAACCAAGGAGCACTCTGTGCACGCTTGCCGTGTGTCGGCATCTTTGTCTGTGTGTGAATGTGTGGGTGGAGTGAAACTGCCTCATGTACAGTATGTGTGATTGAGTCAGGCTGTATGCAGAAATCTGAGTACAGGCACACACATGTATGCAAATAGATGTTTATGCAAGCTTGTCTCTGCAGGTGCACGTCAGTGTGTTTGTACAGTACAGCGTGTGCAGGTGTGGGCAGTATGTTATTCACCCTGTCATGCTCCGGGTGCAGAGATTGAACAGCACAAGAACACGGGGAACAAAACATGCTGTAATATCCCCCTTTTGTCTGCAGCACAGCTCTGAGCATTCAGTCCACTGGTCGCTCTTGTACTCCGGGGTCTCGACAGTCAGTCTGTAGCCTGTGAATCAGCAGATAATGTATCCTTTGCTTTCTCATCTATTCTCACCAGATCTTCCTTGATTATTAAGCCTTCTCTACTCTTGGTGCCCCAAGTTTTTAACTCCCACCTCTTCCTCTTTATCATCATTTCCTGTATTTCTTTTCAACATCTCTTCTTTTGTTGCTCTGAACTATCATTCATTCTATGAGCCTGCCTCTTGAAGTCGGTGTTTAATGAGCAATCAAGTGCTCAACATCTGCAGGCTTTATTTTTCTATTTTCCAATAGCCTTGTTGTCGTACATGCATATGTAAACACACTCCCTCCAGGGCTGCTGGTACCACAAGGATTTTGCATGCATAACCAGGATGGACATCTGCAACCCAGACCTAATATATGGGCAACAGCTTGTGCATCTGGAATCAGACATCATCTAGCTTCTGCTACAGACACGCTCTCGGATGAGTGCACGTTTGCACCCCACTCACACTCTGCAGTAAGTGTGCTGTGCCCTGGAGAAACAAATGGCACTGCAGTGGGAGATGGAGTGATATGAGGCAAAGCAGACCAGAAAATGAGAGAGCCCCCCCCCCTCGCCTCTTGTCCTCCTCCACCCCCGTCTTTTCCTCAGCTGGCTGAGCTATTTATATCGAGCAGGATCCAATCTTAGCAGCAGCTACAGGGGACAGCCAGTCAGGGAGGGGCTGTGCTCCCCCCCCGCTCTATTTTTAGCAACAGGACAGCTTCAAACAGCAGCACTAAGCTATTCTTGTCCTTGTGTTTTGCTCCCTCTGCTGTTGCTGCACCAGCCAAAGGCACTGCCTGTGTGTTTGTGTGTTTTCTGGCAGTAGTTACGAAAAGGCACTTCAAGGCTTCTCAAACTGAGATGTGTGCACGGGAAGGTAGAAATTGGAAGGTCATGCATAGCTTTTTATCCACGACTCCTCTCCTGAAGTGTCTCCTCAGGCGAGCCATTTGCATACAAAATTTTATTTCCAATTTGCACTTTCAAGGCTGTGACTGATCAGGTGTGCAGGTGACTTCGACTGCATCTGTGAGTTTTAATGACATGTCCTTAAGCCACATGCATACCTGGGTACTGGGACACATTTGCTGATGCAGTCCCCTCCCCCAATCATCACACACAATCACTATAAAAGATGAGTACAAGTCTAAGTAAATCATAAAACCTTAAGTATAAATTTGCCTTCAGCCTTTTACTTCCCACTTAAGCTGCTCAGGCACAAAGTCTGAGAAAATCTAATGTCACTATCTGCTGGCAAACCTAGCCACAAGGAGGAGGACTGCTCTTATGAATTAATTTCATTCATCCCTAGCATAAAAACACTGTCTCCTACTTTACTGTGCGTACTCACATCAGCCCCGTGGCCTTCTCGCAGGTTGTACGTGAGGTCATGTTGTATCTCACTGATAAACTTCTGGGCATACTCGGGATAGAGTCGGAGGACCTCGCGGAGGCCCTTGAGGCTGATGTACTGCAGGTCACAGTAGGTCAGGGCCTTGACGTTGGCATTGGTCTTGATCACCTGCTCCTTGGTCAGGGAGTCCGAGCCAATCAGATCTCCTTTACCTGGGGTGATGCACCAAGATGGAGGCAGATGTAAGACAAACACACACGTTTACATGCTTGTTTACAGCAGTGATTTCAACCAAGTATGTTTTCAGAGAAAGGAATCAGCATCAGTGAAGCCAGTTAAATCAATTAAACACAGACTGTGTGAGCTCCAGATTCAAGTAATGGACCCATGAAGTCATTTCAATAGCAAAGGTGTGTGCCTTGATGTACCTGTGAACTCACTGTTGCCACTTTTTCCATTTTTCCTAACATGCACTACCTGTACAAGCAGTACTGAACAAAGTGAGGACTGTTCTTCTGCCAAAGTTAGCTCGTTGCATGTTTTGTTTGGTGTCTAAGAATGTCCTGACAGGCAGCATGTCAATGCTACGTGCATTAGCAAAAGTTCCCAGGTATACTTCTGAATAATAAAGCACTTCAAAAACCTCTCTCACTGGTTTTACGCATCAAAATGAACCATCATAGAGAGAAAACAGGTGTATGTCTCATGTTATCTAGATTCCAGACCTCTGACTTGCTGTGCAGCACATCACAGGTTTTTTTTCAACAATTCAAATGGGTCTGAAAAACAGTGACGGAGAATCTGGCAAAAAGTGCTTGTAAGACTGACAAAGCAAAGTACCATTTATTTTGAGGTAAACAGGTTAAAGCAGATTGTGTTTAAAACTAGTGAAGAGTCTCGTCAGAAAACGGTCTGCTGACATTTCACAGTGCAGCTAAAAACTGGCAGAAACAAAGCTAAAGGTGTTATTATACAGTCTATTAATACATTATCTTTGCAAAGATTATCACTGAGCATGTAGTGTGATGTCAAAAGATAATGGAAATGTGTTGCTGTGTATAAGGGGCAACATTTCTAAGGCTGTTGACAACATCCCTGCACTATTTGGGAAAAGGAGAAGAATTCAGAGAATGCTTCAGCCATGCAGCTGAGAGCAGAGCAGAGAGGAACAACACACAGGGGCTGAGAGGAGGAAACGGAATAGAGGCAAAATGGAGGCGGCGAGGCAAGGTAGGGCAGAGGTGAGAAGGGACTTCAAATGGGTGACAGAGTGGAGGAGGGACGAACAGAGGGAGGGCAAGAAGATGAAGGAAACAGGAAAGAAGGGTGAGGGAGAGGAACTGCAGGGGTTGGTTGAAGAGAAACAGATGGATGGGGTGAGAGGGACAGAAGGAAGGGGAGAGGTAGGAAGAGCAGGAGCTTGGATCCTGCCATGTGAGCAACATCAGGTACTGGACTTGGCTCTCTACCCCTCCTCCGAACCTCCAACCACCTCCACATCCTGCTGTCGCTGCACTCAGCGCCGTCCAACACTCATCTGCACCCTCATCCCCCCTCCCTCCTCCCCATCTGTTCCTTGACTTAATTTGGCGTGATGGGCTTTTCACATGCTCCGTCTGTCTCTCCGTCTTTTTCACATCGCTCACATTTCCTCTCCTTCTCCATGTTCTTTTCTTTAACACCACAGTTTGTCTTTGTCACTGAGATGATGGGTGGCGACAGAGCCGAGCAGTGAAAGGAAGAGCTTCTGCTCATAATCACAGCAAAACGTTAAACTGAGCAGGAGATGAACACTTGAAAGTGACATCGAGGAGTCTGTCTAGTCTTCAGTGTGCGGTATCTCTGTGACTGAGGTGAAAAAGACAAGAGCAGCGAACAAAGAAAGAATGAACCTCATTTTACCAGTGCCAGGGATTTTCAGCCTGTGCACTATTGGTTTGTGTATTTGGTCGTTGCTCTTCTTAAAATGCAGAATTTTTTATAGCACTTCTCTCATTTTGAAAAAAAAACCCCAGTGGGATGAACTTTACAGTTTGGTACAGTAGCTATATTATGCTAAAATGCAGCCGTTACAAGTCTTTCTTTTGAAGCAGACCTGTACATCCAGTGTGGATGCTGCAAAAGCACGTAGGTGTGGTAGGAATATCTTTTGTTAGACACCAAATCTAAACAGTTGCTTGCACGAAAGCAAACCTGGAAGAGAAAAGTTCTTTTTAGCATATGTGCCAGGTGAGTAACTTTCAGTGAGAAAAATGGGCGCCATCTTGTAATCCGGTATCCAGCTCTCAGTGCATCCCTGGCTCAAAGCAGGTTTGACCTCGCCAGACCTTCGTCAGGATGGAAACTGATGAAACAAACACCTGGTACTCTTTAGAGATGATACACCTGAAGTAACAGTAAACACAATGATCAGAATTATCCTCTCTGCTGGGTGCACATTATTTTGAGAGCTATGATTTGGAATGTTGTCATGATCTTTTATGATATTGATTTGACTGATTCACTGTCATTGTGATAGTTTGTCACTTCCAGTATAAGTAAAGAATACCAGTTTAACTTAGTGGATTTAATTTCAGTTATTCAGTGGTGATATTTCTGTTCCCTGGTTACTGTCTCTGCCGAGGAGACTTCAGCTTTTGTAAAACGGATCCTGCTTGCTCCAATGTGGTGTGTTTGAGTGGCTGAGTGTGTGTCCATGTTACATGGTGTGCAGTAAAGTTCAAATTTTACTCACTGTGTGGCTGCATATGAACACTCAGAGATGTGTTAGACTGGCTGCCAGTTTCAGAGGAGTGGTCTTAATGCCAACATGGACACAATATAATTCCTGGAACAACAGACTGTGCCTGCTGTACATTGTGTGGCGCTTCCTGTGCTCTTCAGCATTAATAATCAAGGTGCTTTAATAATGTAAAATCTATTTATTATTAATACCATCACTGCACTGCATTCCATCTATTCTAGGTGTGTTCGTCATGATGGAGATCAAATGTGGGCTGGGGGCTCAGCACTTGAAGACAAATCCTCTTCATGACAACACAGAAATGCAAGCACAGACCATTAATTCGGTTCATCTCGACCTTTTGAGAAGCAGCCTTCAGAGACAGGTACGTCTGTCCTTGCCACACGTGCACACCAAATCCTCCCTCTCTCCCTCACCTCTGTCTATCACTTTGTCCACTTCACAGTCACACAAACCTGAACCACACGAGGCACATGGCCAGCAGGACTATCTCCTCTGAAAAACTCACCCTGTTTATTGGATCAGTGGTGCAAAGGTTTTGAAGCACATCCAGAGGAAATTAAATCTCAGCCAGTGAGACGACCAGCTCAAGGAATTATTCTAATCTGTTGTAACAGGTGCAACAATTTGTCTGACCACACAATTAGAATTTCTTCAATGTTGGTATGATAGCCGTCTTTAACATCCACCACCTGATTCATTTACAATATTTCTTCTTCAGTCGGTGTGAGACTGAAAATTAAAGAAGTGACTGAAGTGGTTTAGCTTCTGCTGTTAAAGGAGAGGAGGTGTTGTGGAAACTCCTTTCACTCTGCTAAGCCTTTCTTATAGTGCACCCAACAGCACAGAGAGTGGCAGCAAAGCAGCTGTACAGCATTTTGACTGGAGAGTGTAGTTAGGTGCAGCTTTTATCAAAACCTCACTAAACATAGATTACTTCAATAAATGCATGGGTTTTATTTACAGATGTTTAACTCCCTTGTCAACCTTAGATAAGTAGATTTTACACATCAGCGGGAAGGAAGGGCAGAATCACATCTTTTCACGTAGCTTGTCACACAGAGTCTAAACTAAGCATCTAACACAGAGTACATCAAGTTCTGAACGCGCCTATGAAGAAGAACAAGAAGCAGCGCGACTGTCGGATAAACGCAGAGTGCCAGTGGATGGATGAAAGGCTGTTCTACCTCTGTAAGATAGTTGTTGTTGTTCTCTGCTGTTGTCCTTCACTTCATGTATCCCTATCTATCCATCAATCAATCTTCCACATGTAATGTGCTAAACTAAAATGAATCAAAAAAGCTGCAACTGTCATGTCAAACAAGAAGGGAAAGGATGAGGGGACCCAAAACAAAAGAAAAACACACCAGTGCCTCTTAAAATAATAAATAAACTGGGGTAAATAAAGTGTGAATTGGGCCTAGATGACGTGATATGCATGGCTGTGGTAAAGGCGGCTGAGCAGGGCACGACTCCGGCTCTTCCACCCACACGCTGTTGGCAGATCAGTCCAGTTTAATATTAGCCTTCACTGGCACACAACTCTGCCTTCACATCCCCAGAGCCCGGTGTGAGTGAGGACATATGATCACACCATTTCTCTCTCACACACACACACACACACACACACACACACTCTCTCCCTGTCTTTGGTTCCATAAAGCTCTCTGATATTTTCCTCACACACTTAGACACACAATGGGAGCCCAGACTCAGTAGTGGCTGCACAAACCACCAGAATCTCCCCATCTGTGCTTATTAGAAGACTGGCCTCTCTTACCGACAGGTACAGTATATCTAAACAAACATTTGGACTTGTGCTGGCAGCTTGGTGCTTCAAGGCCTGTTCTCCATTTTTGGAAGAGTCAGATAAAGCCTGTTTTTACTGTTACTGAATTTTTTGAATCTCAAATCACAAAGACTAATAATTACCAAGGAGCTTTTCATGAAGTCTGATCTCATTTATAACATAGCTTAAGATCTCCTATTGGCATCTGCCTAGTCACAAAACATAACTGCAAACCACCCACAACCATCTAACCTCACCCTGAACAGAGCATGAGATGCAGCTGCCAGTGACGAGGTCTGACAGAAATGTTGTGAAATCCTCACAACACCGGTGAAAGCTCATATAACAACACTGATCAGTTTTGTGGCACCTTCTTATGTTTTCAAAAAGGACAGGTTATTCTGGTGAAAGATGTTTCTGTGTTGGCAGCTTCTCGAGGATGTGTGTGAACTCTGCTGAACAGAAACACTGTACCCAGAAACTGATGCTGTGGCCTATACAGTACGCCACACAAACATACACCAACTGGATAGTCAAGTTGTTTTTAGCAACAGTTTGCTGCCTTCGCTGCCAGGTTCCCCTCTGCAGATCAGGACAGGTTGGATCTCGTCCTTCCACCACTGGCTCTCGCTGTGATCTGCTGAATCTATATGATGCCCGAGGAACAAAGCGTGATGAGCTTTCTGGACTTATCTGGTTCTCATGTATCCACACTACGGTCCAGAGCAGAAACAGGAGTGTCCCAGCAGCCTACAAACATCATTTATCTCTTTGTTGATGTCTGTTCTCCGCCCTGTGTGACATCTGATACATCTCTATTCACACTGCACTGAAGGATAGTCTGTTGCAATGTAGGAAGCCTCGACTCTCTGTGTGTGTTTGGAGCGATGATAATTCTTTAAAGCAGCAGAGCACAGACAACAGCTGTTTATCACTGCTGCTCTCTTTGTTGTTTGTGTGATACACATCTGTCTGTGTCCTTTTCTTCACCTCCCACATCAGTCTCATGTCCACTCAAGCCTTGTTCAATCCGCTCTACAGGTCTGTTTGGTGAAAATCAAACCCAATAACTGTGAAAGATGATTAACAGTCACATGCCCACCAGGCTCAATCTTCAAATTACACAGTCTCATCTTCATTAACAACGCACCACAGTGTCCCGTGGATCACGATCATCTCACAGCCTCTCATTAAGTCCCAGTTTGACAGGTACATGTCTATCAAAGCCACAGGATGCGGTGCTGTTTCAACCACTTCTTTATGCACGGCTTCCCTCAAACAGACCACCCTTAGTGCATTTTACTCTTAACCAGCATGTAATTTAGAAATCTGACAGTCAACAAATCACATCTCACACTTTATATTTTCAGCAGCAGTTTTTGGTTGCCACTTTTTCATTAATTGGAAAAAAAAAACCTTGAAAGTGATGTTATCCCTCGTGGAAATTTGTGGAAAAAATAGGAAATAAGATGAACATTGATAGAAAACGGTTTAGATTTTTGTTTGGCAGAAATGACCCATCCCCACAATAAATGGATGCACATAAAGTACAGACAGAACCATGTAAATACAGGATTAAAGGCACTGCACAGTATTCAGATCTCTCTGCCTAGCAGGGCTGTTGCTAAGTGGCACCAGCTGCAGGGGCACCACAGAGAGGGCAGAAATGTTTTGAAAAAGATTTCAGATGCCCAATTAACTGTCTGTTTTTGCCAGTGCACATCTTTTTTTCAATACAAGAATAACAGGGAACACCACTCCCACTTCATTAAACACCTAAGAGAAGATGACACAGACAGCAGGACTGTTTACATCCAATGTAGCACCATTCAGCTGCTGCTGCTGCTGCTCATTTAGCATCTGTTTCAGCTTAAAGCTGAGCTCACTGAGAATCTGTCTGCTTGCCACAACCCAAACCTAAGAATATTTTAGAAAATACTAATACTGTATAAAAAGTAAATTGTAGGAAACAAGCACAATATTCTCTTAAATGCAGATTTACTCAGTTATTAAACAGATCTTGACTAATGTTTGATGTAGGCCTACAGTGTGCTGCTCCATGACGGAGACAGTTACAATCATGCGCACGTGATCAAGCTCATGCTAGACCTTTACAGGCATATGAATAACCAGGCCATGTTCTCACTCACTCGCTCCACATGATTAAAACAAGGACATAACAGGAACTAGTGCCCATGTAAACTGGTACTACTACAAAGATGGCATGGAACAGAAGCTGAGTGAGGCTGAATAAAGTTCCATTTTAAACTGAAGTATTGCAAAGTTATCATAGCTGTTGTAAAACAGAAGATTAATGCCCAGTTGTTACTCTCTCGGTCCCCAGCCTTGTTTTCTTTCCCGTACTTACATTTAAGTACCAGCACAGCCATCAGCGGCTATTTCGCCTAAGGTGCCAAAATGTCCAGAAACAACCCTGTTCCTAAGTTATTTCTTAACTTTAAAGGAGCAGTGAACATGCCAGTGTTAGCCAAAAGAAAAGGTATCCTGTGCCTCTGACTCACCCAGTATGGCCAGCACAGTGTTGTCTTTCAGCACCTCCATGGACCCCGAGCAGACAAAGTAGATGGCCTGCAAGGCGTCTCCCTGCCGGATGAGGAACTCGCCTGGAGCGCAGAAGGAGGTCTTGATGATGAGAGAGAGGGAGCGCAGGCAGCCCCTGCTGGCTGACTCGAACAGGGGCAGCTGAAGCAGCTCCTTGTTCAGGTGCATGGCGATATCAGCCCTGAGCTCGTCTGGGAAGTCCTTCAGCAGCTGAAACAAAAGAGATGGTGTGATCTACAAGGTAGTTGTTGTTTGAAGTAGGTGCTAACAAAATACTGACAGGCTCCGTATACATTAAGATAGTTACGTTCTGTATTTTGTGTGAAATAACCCTTTAATTTTAATGCATAGCTCCCTTGCTAATTGGGAGAACAGATGTGCTGAAGTGACCGTAAGTTTGCTCTCTCCTCACCTCACTGACATCGATCCCGTTGTTGACCGACCAGGTAGTCTGGAAACACTCTAGCATGCGCTGCTCCAGGGTCTTGGGCAGCCGGTGAACCCTGATGAAGTCCTTCAGGTCCTTGGTGCGGGTGTGGTAGAGTGAGCGCCGCGAGTACATCCTCTGAATGATGGCTGTCACGTTGCCAAACACCACTGCATGCATCAGTGCTGGAGAGGAAAGATTGTTGTAGTGACACAGAGAGAAACACAGAGTTTCTAGACTGACTTTTATCTAGAATGGCTCTCTGGAAAATCCCATAATAACTCTGCACAGCAGGAAGCTTTACAGGATGTCTTAATAAGGCTGAGGAAGTTAAAAAGCACAAGGCTTATAACGACTTAGCTGCTCTAACACCACTGTAAAGCACTGCTTTAAACTAAATAATCCCATTTGTTTCAAGTGAATAAAACACTTAGAATATCAACTAAATTATTTTTCTAAAACCCAACACAGCTCCAGTCACAGCCCACCAGCACCCAACCAGTAAGAACTGGAACTATCCATTTCATTATGTGCAGTACGTTCCTG